CCACATTTTTTTTTAATCCCGCAATTATCTCTGTTTTTTTAACAAAATATGTTACAGTTACAATTTTTTTCATTTCTGATTGTCTGATCTGGAGGTAAATTTATTCACTTACACTATGTATTTTAGAATAGTTTTGAAATTCCGAGATGATTTTTTTTTGAGAAAATAAAACATGCGCATGTCCACCATAAAACTACGGGCTAAGAAATTTTTATTTCGAACAGTTGCAAAAAGTTTATTAGGTCGGTGACATACTTCGCGATTTAGGAGCGGTTTTTTCCAGCGGGTAAAAATCGCTACTGTGAGTAGCTGACAGTGTACGCGATTTCCGATCGATTTCCTGGCAGTTCGGGTTTCTGACAAAGCAACCACTATGAAGTCTGCTGCTGCTACGATATTTCACCATCAAATTGTGGAATCCCTTTGCGCTTTGGAAGCAGAAGACGCTCTTGCTGGAAGACGCCAGCCAAGGAGGTACGACGTGCATATGTAACACCGAAAGTGGAACCAGGAAGAAAGGTTTTCTATTATATAAAACAAAATCAGAGAATATGCAGACAAGTTTTTTACCTATTACCAGTGAATGCCCATAAAGTCGTTCGATGAACTTGTGGCAATTGTTCGACCTTTGCTACAGAAAGATTGCAGTAGAAGAATACCTATCAGAGGGGCTTACTCTTACATTGAGGTTAGTTCAAGTTCATAAAATATTGTATTGGTCACATATTTCTTCTAGTGGGAGACATGACTAACACATATCTTAGGGGAAACTTGATAATACATAAAATCAAAATATATATGTGTAGTACATACTCGCTTTTGTCCCACAAATAAGGGTGTTTTTCTACGCTACGAAATTTTTACTTCCATGCTCGAATTGCAACTGAAAAACCACTCGGAAATAGCCCATTCGTTTATCTGAGTTCTCCCTCTACTTGGCCGCCCTTTCCCTCCGATTGTCGCTCGGAATTCGACGACCGGTCCGCTGCAAAAAATGGCCGGTGTTGAAAATCGCAAAAACCATCGTGGTCCCTTTTAATGCATGAGTTGGCATGAAAATGAATAACCGCTTGGAAACCGCGCTGAAAAAACCGCTTGGAAACCGCGCTGAAAAAACCGCTCGCAAATCGCGAAGTATGTCACTGGCCTTAGTGCTTTTAATTTGCTGTCATATTTTTTATTGAAGACTGGATGTCAGATGAATAAATAATGAATAAAAAAATGTATTCTAATGTTTCATGAAAGAGCGACAATTTTTCACACAAAATATAAAAACCATTTCAAAATATGTGAGACGACGCGACGTTTCCATTAACTTCCAGGCATTTACTAACCCTCGTCATCAAATTTTTATTTGCAGCATGACTATTTCATCAGATCCTGGGTATTGGATGGAATTTTCCATTTATCGTTTATGAATACATTATCGCTTAATACAATAGGAATGTTATGGAAATAAAAGAAGCTAGTGGTTCACTTATTTATGTTGTCAATTGTTTAAGTGAATTTAATGAATTCGTGAGCAAAATGTCCCCGTTTGGTTATAGGAACGAAAAAATTTTAAATTTGAAAATGATCTATGCTGAATGTAATCGAGTTATCAACCGAAAAAGTATCCGAAAAAACCCAAAACGAATCACAAAGGCTGTTGAAAAATTGTTTGCATCGTGGATAATTTCTTCCAAAAATAACCAAATGAAAGCCTCAGACGGATAATGAAGATCTGGAAATAGATGTTCTTAGATGTTTTACTGCTCATACGAATGCATCTTTGAAAGATTGTTAGCAAAACCTACCAGTTAAACCCAGAACCGCTAATGCATTAATATTAATTTATCATTGACTGTGTCACATATTCATAAAGAACAATAGGATGTTACAATAGTATCTTATTGACCACATATTTTCGGTAACTGAAAACACATAATGATAGTACTTAGCTATTTCCATTAAAATTTTCAATAACAATAGCAATTCGACTGATTTTCATCAGTTCATTGTTGGGTAACACTCTACTATTCACAAATTATTTATGATTAACTATAGGAAAGAATTTTGTTGTAAATCCAAATATTTGTTTCCTTGATAGCCCATCAGACAGATAAGCCAATTGCAAATAAATGTTTCAACCTTGAATCGAATGTTTACTTCAATTTTAAATTAAATGATGCTATAATCACGATGAGGTCAGGTCGCCATTGAAGAAATATTACACAAGTTTCATAATAGAAAATGCAAGTACATAATTACATCTCTTTTTTTTGTTCAAGACAAACAGTTCTATGACATAAAAAATATCGCTTCCTTTGAAGATATTTATTTCTACAGAAGACGTCATAGTGGTGCCATATTGAATTTAGAGAAAATGGCTCCTACGCCAGTTTCAATAGAAATGGCCACATGTGTTGTTATGGCGTTGAAAAGATAATTGTATATCTGATCAAGTGGTCAAAAAAAAATACAGAATTCTATTTGAAACTCGGATTCATATTCGGTTAACACTGTATAGATTTTCGGGTGTTTAATGATTAAAAATATTGGCTTCGATGAACTATACCTTTATTCCGAATTTCACATTTCATTCCTCATAAAAAACTAAATGGCGCCGTATACAATGATTTCGCTGTCACATTTATTATCTCTTATAGTGTCTCATCAGCTTGTACATCTAAAAGGTTGCCGTTTTTACCTGAAGGACATGCTTTTCAAGATATAAGGGATGCAAGTTTAACCTAAAACTTTCAGTCCAGAACATTATAAAGTATTTGAGAACATTTCAAATCTTTTCAGAACATATCGGAACATTCTGGAATGTTCGAATAATCTGGAACGTTCGGGAACATCCCAAGTCATTGTGTAAGATTCCAGAATGCTGTTTATGTGTGGGTGAGGCTATCCACAGGTGGAGATATATAAAGGAAGACTTCAAATAGACAGTTTCTTTTTTCCAATAAGGGGTGTAAGTTTTGAAGGTAATCCCCGGTTATTACTATTATTCAGAGTTCTAGTGGAGTATAAATCGTCTGGCAAGATATTAACACAACATACTTGGACCCTAGCAAATAAGGCTGATACTCGAAAATGGATTATTGCAGTAAAAAAATCAACTAATTTCAATCTGGCTTCAGGCCAAAAAAACTCAAATAAAAACATACTTCTATTCTTAGTATCTGGAATTCAGTAGGCATACGTAATTATGAGTCCAATTATTATTCATGAAATGGAATTTACAATCAAATGTGTTAAGGCTTTTAATAATATTTGGAATGGATTCAACTAAAATTCACGCCAATGACTCGAATGATATCAAATACCTTTTTTATTCAAAGGTAGTTCAAACGATTGTCATTATTTATAACTGTTATAAAAAAATAATGACACGTTTTATGACTTCTGAAAAAATGCAAATGATTGAAAAAAGCAGGCATCCCGGCTGAGCTGTATTTAGTATGTTTCTTTGGTTTCAGGCCATAATTTTTTTCTCATTTTGTAGCTTAACCTTTTTTTGAATTAGACTATACCATGATTTCAGGTTCATTTAAGGCTCCTTTTCACTTTTTGGAAACTTTGAATTTGCATTAACTTTGGACTCCATCCTTACCCTATTAAATAATTATTTGCTCCTTGTTTGAATTTGATATTTGGGTGACTACCTCAGGCACACATGGCAAAAGCAGATATAATTTTCTACAAACCTTCTTCGAATATGGGAGGAATAATAGTACGAGTATATGAAAAGTTTATACTCATTTTGGGCTACTATTTGGGCTTTACTATTAAGCTAACAAAACCAAATCCTTCACTTGTTGGAAATATTAAAATAACAATAATTTTAGGTTCATTTTATGCTGCTTCATTAGCCTCTTGAACCATGGAATGAACCTAAAATTCCTAAATGTTTGTATCTCTCAGAAATTCGAAGAATATTTCCATAAAATTATTTCATTTGATGCATATTCAAAATTTATAAAAAAAATTAAGATTTCGATTTGCTTCCGCCAGCTTAAAGTTGAAGCTAGATCCGCCAATTGAAAAAAACATCTTGTAATAAAGGAAATATTGTAAAGGAACACAATGTCACATTTGTTGTAGAGAACATATCGTGGTTGAATATTTGTGTCAATGTTTTCAATACATGACACTCTTTTCTATTTTAAAAGCCGATTCAGATTTCCTAGTCCGTTTCTCAATTATAGACTGGTCAATTTAACGCTTGAAAGATGCTATCTTATAGCGAAACACGTGTCATGGTTTTGTAAACTTTCAAGTGAAAATTTCATATTAAAGTGTAAGCTAGGTACATTGAAAAAATATTGAAGAAGTAGAAAAAGAACATGATTTAGTCTTGGTCCTAAAAGTTGAAATTTGGAAAATTTTAAGGACATGAAATATCCTATAAATGATTTTATGGAAAAATACTCAATGACAGTCATTTTTTTGTGGACCTTCTTTGAATATTTTTACTTTCGCCAATATAAAAAATATAAAAATTGTAATGGAGAACATGTGTAGAAAGGGCAAACTTTTTCGTTCACCCCATTGAGTATAAATTCAAAGTATTTACCACAAAAAAAAGTTCTTTTTACTTATCAGTAACTTTTTTTTTCGGGTTTTCCTGCAGCTGAAAAAGCAAATGCGCCACTGGAATCAATGAAGTCGCCCCGGAGCGCCAATTAATTTTTATTGTTGTTTTTATTTAATTTTTTCATTATGATATAATGTTATATGATATATTTCATAATTCATGTGGTAAAGTAGATTTTATCGAATTTGTCACAATGAACTTTATCTCAGAATGGAATGATGAAATTCATGTAAAAATATACCCCTTTCAATTTAATCTGAGTAGTAACATGAGTGAATTTGCTGCATGAGACTGTGATAATTGAGACAACATGAATTTCATTAACATTATGGGCAATTAAAAAACAATACAATAACAATATTGAATTTTGCAATTTTCTTGAGAAAAATGGCAAGATAAAATAGAAATGACTCACCTTTATAGATTTAAACTTTTTCTTGGATGCAGTATTCAAATCTTCATGAACTTTATCTAGAAGCCACTGTAAAAATTCCAGCGCATCATGCTGTTGAGTGCCCTTATACTGAGCCCCATGTCTTTCAACCACTTGTTTAAAGTTAGTACTTAACTCAGGACTATACTGGCAAGACCAAAGGGCTTTAAGGAGTAATGCCAGCTGTTCTGTAACTTCACCTTTGGTCCCAAATTTCTTGGAGTTGAGCTTATTCCTTCGAGATAAGTCTATTTTATATCTGTCGAGAACAAAATATTCGGCCAGAACATCGGTATGTGAAATACATTGTAAAACTGCATTTATGAAACAAGTATTTCCATGATTTTTCAAACCAGTGACTCCTGGAGTATCCTCGGGTCCCCAAGTTTGTAGGCCTACAGGTGGAACTCTGTTGTTTTCTAAATTACTATTTATGCCCGGCACACCTCCAATATGTTGTGCTATTTTATTTATGAACTTTCTTATAGAAGGTCGCCTGAATATTTTTTTGTTTAGATCAGCCTCATTCGTAACTATCTTCAAATCCGATTCATCTTTCGTTTTCGATCTTCGTTTTGACATTCTCGTTGGATTAAATGGATTTCTCGGCAAGGTAAAAGATCTTTTTAATTTTGGTAATTCATTGGGTTGGATAGTGTTATCAGGTATAGTGAGCGTCATTTCGTTGCTGTTCAATATTCCTGTAGAATTTGATTTTTTTCTGATAAACTTTGCACTTTCGCACATCACACCATTATAGTCATAATAAAATAAACTTCACTTTATAAAATATCCAAAATTCATAATTCAATGCTACACAACTAAACTACTCAAATTCGGCCATTTGTCAATTGTCAGACTACTGACAGTACTGAGTACTGACACAGAATCGAACTACTCGTCACTGGTCAAATCACAGCATAAGGACGACAGATTCTGATGAGGGCTTTAAACTTAAAGTAAATAAAAAATACTCTGAGGCTTGAAAGATAAAATGTCTTGGTTCACAGCACATAATATCGGCACTACAGTCACAGTCTAGAGGAACTGTGNATGTCAATTCAGCCTCCTGAAGGTTCCAATCTTGTTGGCGAAATGCGCTATGAGAGTCAGTGTTTTTTTATTTGATGTTTGAGTAATTAGACTCTGTTGAGAATATTTTAAGAATACATGATTTTTTTTGTGAAAATTTGTATGGTAGTATTTTTATTTAATTTAAAATTTCATATGTTGCTTCGTAATGACAAAATAGTTTTTTTTTTGGTATTGAGTTATGAGCATGAAACCAGCAATATAACGTGAAAAGATTGAAAAATATGATGGAAATGACCCATACTTGCTGAAAAGCATAATATCATATTCAAAAAACACACTTTCAAGTGTGGATACGTCGAAATGGGTATTTCAGTCCGGTTTCTAGAGAGTTTTATATTTTTGAAATATTGCGGTTTATGCTCTTCAAAGAAGTGTATTTCATTTAGTGTTTTTTATTACTAGTTTAAATGTTTTCGTATTTGCGAGAATGAAATTGTTCAATAAGAATTGGAGATACGAATAATTTGATAGTTTACTACTCTATCAACATTCTGCCAAATATGCTGGCTCTACAGTTCTGAAATGAAGCCAAAATGGTTTTCAAAGAGTACGTGCAATATATAAATTCTTGGTGTTTGAGTTAGAGAATTATGTGTATTCCAATTTTTTCAATTCATCCAAGATCAATCAATTTTCAACATACATAAAGGAGGTTGATGTGATGTTACAAATAGGATATTGTGACAATATTATATTTAAATATTTTCTCTGTATATGATAACAATTACATTATAATGTTACACTGATATCACAATCTGATACGCCATGAGATAATTATGAGAAAAAAGTAAGTATTGACATCTCAAAGCCATATCACAGTACCTATTCATCGTGATATCTTGAGGACATCTGTGAAATGTGACTATGTAACATGTTGGCTGGGTATCATCATATCCCTGATGAGGTTGTAGTAGTAATCCTATATTCTTTAATAAGATATGACAGTTTGAAAATCTTGCATGCGACATAATATATCATCATTTGAGAGTAGGTACCCTTAACTTACAAAAAAAGGGTTCCAGATACAAATAATTCAATTATGCATGTTCAATATAGTTATTTATTTAAGGAATATTTCATACAGTGTACAACTATCTGCTGACTTTTTTTTAGTTTTATGGAGTGTTTATGGTGAATGTGAAAATATATCAGTTATGACAGGCCATACAGGAGCAGTCACTGAATTACATTTCACAACAGATGGATCAAATATCTTCACTTCTAGTACTGATCACACGTTAGGTTTATGGGATATAGTAACATCACAGAGAATCAAAAAGTACAAGGGGCATACCACCTTTGTAAACTGTGTTCAAGGTGCTAGAAGAGGGCCCCAATTATTATGTTCAGGGAGTGATGACAGTACCTTGCGAATCTGGGATATTAGGAAGAAACAGAGTGTTGCTACACTAAATACAGTTTACCAAACAACAGCTGTGAGTTTTAATGACACAGCTGAACAGATTTTCAGTGGAGGAATCGATAATGATATCAAGGTAAGTTGTTCTTTATATATTAACCTTGCCCAAGGTCAGATTCCAAAAAGGAATCCAAAGACAAATTTATAACACAATTTTTAAAAAAAATTCATGAGCGATGATTTCATTAATTTTTCAGGTGTGGGATGTCCGAACGAAAGAAATCCTTTATTCATTACGGGGACACACTGATACAATTACAGGCCTTTCGTTAAGTTCTGATGGTTCTTATCTTTTGAGCAATTCAATGGACAACACACTAAGAATATGGGATGTAAGAGCCTTTGCACCTGCTGAAAGGTGNTAAAGCAGCGGTATGATCAACCAATCCCCATTACCTCCTTGAAATACAGGGATCTGGTTTCTTTGTTCACACTAAAGCCCCCAGCACTCGGAGATAGGTACAAACAATTTTATCTTGATCTGCCTCATGATGGAGATGTCGGCGAGCCCGAATGCGATTTTGACGATTCTGACAACGAAAATCTATAATTTTTTATTATTGTTTTGTTTTTGCTCAATTTTTATTGTTAACTTTGTAAATTTAACTAAATAACATCGTTAGATTTTATCGATTTTGATTTTTCGCTTGTAAAAAAATAGTATTAATATTATTTTCAATAAAAACTTAATACTTAATACTAAATAAACTATTCATTTACTACCCTGCTTGTTGAATGTGATTGAATTATTTAGTTTGACTTTAACATTGTGCTATGGAGGCTTCCTAAATTGGATATGAAAAATCATTTATTAAATACAACATTGATCATTTGGAATGTAAGTACTTCTAACTCAACATCAAAAATATCCTTATTGCTAAAACTAGGTAACTGATTTTTTTTTAGGATACATTATATTTCAAGGAATTTTTCTCGTCAATTCTTAGAAAATTGTGGTCAAAACGAGACATAAATACTTCTAATAAAATATAATCCAGAAATGGTAGTAAGATAACTTTTAGTTTAGTCTCCACAGTCTTCCAAAACCTTACTAAAACTTTAATTTGCGTTTTTCTCGAAACAGCTGAATTGTAGTTACCTAGTTGTAGTATTGACCCCACGATATGCAGATGACTCTACTTTACTAATTAAATATAAAAATTTTGACTTATTACAAACAAAAAATTCAGAACTATCAACAAATTATCTGCTTGGTATTCTGACGGATCATTGTTACTAAACTCTAGTGAAACTAAATATACAACATTTCATACTCATCAAAACTCAAACATACTGATACTAAACGTCAATTCAATTAATAGTACCGTTGATACAATAACGGATGTTAAATTTCTAGGAGTAACAAGCATACTCACAATACTATGAAAACAGATAACTTTCTGGCACCTGGAATTATCCAAAAATCACCAAATACTTTTGGTTTGTACTTGTACAATTCACTTCCTCAGAAGTTGAAAAGTTTGCCAACACTAATTTTTAAACGAAAACTAAAAAATTTTCTCATCGATCTGTGTCCTTATACAACAAAAGAATTCAGTAGCAATTTAGTTAAACAACATTTAATAGATCATCATATGGAATTTTGATTATATGTTTTTATGAATGATAATATTTATAAATGTAAGACCTTTTTACTTCTTTTATTGGCTTGTCCTACATAACATGTGATCTTACAGGATAAATAAATTCTGTTTAAAAAATTCTGTTTAAAATCTGTTTTTCCGTTAACCAGCTGTCGCACCCCTACGAACGACAACCCTCAGAAGTCGAAACTTGTGCGAGCTAAGGATTAACGANATATGCTGGCTCTACAGTTCTGAAATGAAGCCAAAATGGTTTTCAAAGAGTACGTGCAATATATAAATTCTTGGTATGTGTATTCCAATTTTTTCAATTCATCCAAGATCAATCAAATTTTCAACATACATAAAGGAGGTTGATGTGATGTTACAAATGGGATATTGTGACAATATTATATTTAAATATTTTCTCTGTATATGATAACAATTACATTATAATGTTACACTGATATCACAATCTGATACGCCATGGTATAATTATGAGAAAAAAGTAACTATTGACATCTCAAAGCCTTATCACAGTACCTACTCATCGTGATATCTTAAGGACATCTGTGAAATGTGGCTATGTAACATGTTGGCTGGGTATCATCATATCCTTGATGAGGTTGTAGTAGTAATCCTATATTCTTATATTCTACGATTTACAAAAATGTTATGAACATTGAACCTTTTTTTACTTTTTGAAAAACTTTCGATATTTTCCAGAGACGATATATTTGAAAATGCAGAAATAAATTATTCCGACTTACATAAAGCCAATGCATATAAAAGATGACATGTATTACATATTTTTTGTGATTCCATGATATGCCCCATTCGGAATAAATATCAAATATTTCAACTTCTTTGCGGCATTTGTGGCAGCCATTTTGCAAAATTCGGGCGAGCATGGCTGCGCCTTAATTGTTATCCCGAATCAATGACCTTAACCAATGCCAAGAAGATGAATATTTAGTAAGGTTAGGTCACAGTGGTTGTTGTTTGGTTAGGTATTAGATGTCAGTTTACTGATTTGCTTGTAGAGGCTTTGTTTTGTATACAAAATCAGAAACTGTTCCACCAAAGTGGAGTTTAAACCATGGTTGTAGAAAAGAGGAAAGCTGAAGATTCTTCTCTCGTTCCCGTTGAAAAAAGATCAAGAAATGAAGTCGCCAACAAGAATAAAAACACTTCTGTATTACAAGCAGTAAGGTCTATTTTGAAGGTATTTCCTGAGGGGTAATAATATTATTTATTTTTTAGACACCTGCGAGAACCTCGAATCTGTTTGCTCCAATTATGCTCCTGGAAGGTCATGAAGGAGAAATATTTACTGTAGATTTTCATCCGGAGGGACAATATATAGCTTCCTCAGGATTTGACAGAAAAATTTGTATGTATTAATCTATAATCTGCTGAACCTGGTATAATTACAGTTTTTTTTATCAGTTCCACATGCAAATGTGACATTTCAGTTTCTTACTATACTAATTTATGCATGTGAAAATACATACTACATTTTTAAAATCAACTTTGATTCAGGAAGTTAATGTACCGCCGACTTTTTGTTTCCAGAAATTCTCATATTAATGTCAGGTTAGGTTGAGTTAAAAATTTGTCAACAAAATAATTGATATCATATAGTCAGGATATTTCCACCTACAACTGAAATCAAAATCATATATAAATAATTTATCTAAAATATTCATTTCTGACTTCTTTAGGCATTTTAGCTGAGTAATTTTATATATTTATATATTTCACATACATATTTTTTTGTTTCCTGATAATGTATCCAATGTCAAAATTTGGCACCACCGTCTACTTTTGGAGATACAACCACACAAAAATAAAAAAAATTACTATTTCACTTTCAACTTTTTTCCATGTATAATTTCATCAAAATTAATTTTTTCTAGTAAGCCACATTATAATTGTTTATGATACTAAGTGACATATTTACAAGGAATTTTTTTTGTTTGTTGTCTACATTACAGTGTACATTATAATGTTACACTGATATCACAATCTGATACGCCATGGTATAATTATGAGAAAAAAGTAACTATTGACATCTCAAAGCCTTATCACAGTACCTACTCATCGTGATATCTTAAGGACATCTGTGAAATGTGGCTATGTAACATGTTGGCTGGGTATCATCATATCCTTGATGAGGTTGTAGTAGTAATCCTATATTCTTATATTCTACGATTTACAAAAATGTTATTTCGTTAAGTTCTGATGGTTCTTATCTTTTGAGCAATTCAATGGACAACACACTAAGAATATGGGATGTAAGAGCCTTTGCACCTGCTGAAAGGTGTGTGAAAATTTTCAATGGACATCAACATAATTTTGAGAAAAACTTGTTACGATGTGCATGGTCTTCTGATGGAACCAAAGTTTCTGCGGGTTCAGCAGACAGATTCGTTTATATTTGGGATACCACATCTAGAAGGATAATTTATAAACTTCCCGGGCATAATGGTAGTGTTAACGATATTAAATTCCATCCTGAAGAGCCTATAATTTTGTCCGGTGCAAGTGATAAACAATTATATTTAGGAGAAATTGATTGAATTTCGTGTAGGTTATAAGTCTAATAAATATTTCAAAGTCGAATGATTGATTCAGGTTTTTTATGCCTTCATCAACACTATAAGGGAATGTATAACGAAACTCTCAGTAACCTCTAAGAAAGGAAAGATAATTATACAAATAAAATCAATTAAGCAATAAATCTAAAATGCTATGGCGGAACATTGGTGACATGACCTGTTTAAACCAACCAGAAAGCTGGAATCCATTTGACGCTGCAAATTGCTATTTTATTAACGTGGTCTCGGTCCTTGTAGGAAAATATTGGCATGAAAAATGATTTTGGAAAAGCAATAGATCTTCAGAATCATACACTGTTCCTGAACCCTGTGCAGAATGTGAATTATTCTTGATAAAAACCAATATGGAGAATAAAATGAGCAAGGGAATTGATGAAGTACCCAGTCATATATTAAAAAGATGTGCCCTTGAAATGGTACCTGTTTCAATTTACCTAATAGATCTTTTGAGTTGGGAGTTTTTCCAGATGAATATCCATCCATGTGAAGACACGCCTGAAGAAGCCAGCACGTGATGTAAAACTGTTTAGTGAAAATCTCACAATGAAGTGTTTCTTGAATAGTAGTAGGCTGCAAGGCCCGTGGCATTTGCTTTCTCCTGCAATATGGCACTGGTTCGTTTTCCAATCTATCACAATTATTTCACCAGTGAATTTCTTTTGTTTGCTGGTGAAATATAAACTTACTGTAATTGGATATAGACAAATGTCATAAATTTACTCACTTTCCAATCTGTCTATCACAATTATTTCACCAGTGAATTTCTTCTGTTTGCTGATAAAATATAAACTTACTGCAATTGAATATAGACAAATGTCATAAATTTACTTTTTTCCAAAACAAAAATCCCATAAATAGTCCACATAAAATGAAGCAATCGGAACTGGAAACTACAAATATAATCAAAGATTCAGGAATCACTCGTGACCCAAAAATGTCATTCAAACCCTATATTGCAAATGTTACTTCTAGAGCACTAAAAATGTTAGGTTCCACTCTTAAATCTGCCGAGGAGTTCTCTCTATCTTCCTTAAAAATCATATATTGTTCAATTGTTAGATCAATAATCAAAACTCCACAATTTGGTGCCCCTCATATATTGTGGATATTTATATGCTTGAAAGTGTTCAAAACAAGTTTCCAAAGTATTCTACATACAAACTAGGATAGTATATTGGCGAATATAACTNATATTTACATACGAAAATGGAAAAAATATTTACTACATTTAATCCTAAAATTTTTCAAAGATAAATTGCATAAGTTAGAAGATTACAATATAAATGCTTTGCAAACTGATACAGATATAATAGATCATCTCTATATTTAGAGACGCAAATTTCTATATAATTCAAAAATAACGTCACGTGAATTTCATTGGAATATTCATGAAGCAACAAATATAAAAATTATAGATGATTCGGAAAAATAATACAACACTTGGAATATATGTACAACCTTTTGAATCAGGTTTTCAGAATCAAGACTGAGGCGGTTTTTTTTGTACAAAGAATGGTGTTTTCATTTCATTTGAAGTATTGATGATCATTATACTTCATAATAATGCAAAACGGTCAATTTGCAGCATACTACTTTGATCAGTAAATACCTATTTGAAAATTATTGATGTATAAATTATAAGATTACCATTTTACTGAGAAAATTTCAAGTAAAACCTCTAAAAATATCAATCAAATTACTCTATCGTACTCTGCGAATTAGAAAAATGTATTTTAGTTTTCTCACCAATTGGAAAATTAATATTTTTTAATTCCCAAAATTTTGAATTATATCACAGATATAATTATTTGAAAATTTTTAAAGAGGATGCTGTGGTTCAACTAGGATTGTGTAGACATCAATCCAGGATATAAACAATATGGTATCGGTATAGGCACCAGAGATTTGCTGGGTTTTCGTCGTGCCGGTCAAAGGATTCTTAACGAGCTGAATCTATAAACCACTTTAGAGCTAATCACATTCATAAAATGTAGATTTGACATTCAAAGTCTATCCATCCTGGCAATGACGTCACATACATCTACATAAAGCATTTTAATATGGACAAGTCCTCATTTTTTCTCCCAGTTACTGTTCAAATAAATGTGGAGAATATTTGTAAATATTGTTGACATGATGTCATTTTATTTTGTAAAGTTCTAAAGTTTGCCAAGAGAAAAAATTAATTTGTTCTTATACCTTAAAATAAATAATTTTAAATATCAACAAGTGACACAATAGGTTATAGTTTGAAAAAATAAACTGTTTAATTTCAATGATAAAAAAGTGACTCAAATACCCTTCACGTTTCCAAATGAATTATGAGAACTGTACATAAGTTTACTCATATTTCAAAAGCCTACTCCAGAGGTTATACCCTGTCGAATTAATTTTCAATATTATACAAACTGCTGTACCAAAATGATATACACAAAAATAAAATGAATAAAAATCCTTGCTCACCGAATTTTTATTCGAGAAAGGAAATACCTCCAAGTGATCTTTTTTTTATTTTCAACACCGAATCAAAGAATGCCGAAATTTTTTTAGAAAAAAAAAAACAATGTGATATATTGTCTTAAACTAAACATATCAATATAAATTATGAAAAATTAAGACCATTCTACAATAACCTTAAATATATTTTCACATATTGATTCAATGTTATTATGCATCTAAATCATTGATAAATAAAACTTCTCTGTTCTTAAGTCCAGCTTGCTCTAGAGTTTCCATAAACTCTGCATTTTCAGGTTGACACTTCAGTACTCGTTTTGGAAAGTTTGTGGTTATTTCAAATGAATCGGGAGCTTTTGGATGGCAGAACACAAAAAAGAACACAGACTGAAAAAAATATACATATTAAAAAATAGAATAAAAAAAAAAGGAAACACTTGTGAAAAAATGATACTTTGAGATTACTGCCAAACAAAAATATTGTATGAAGTTACCTCCAGGGAATGTGTTTTGAGGAATCTTCTTTCCAATCTACTACCACAAGGTAGTTTGAAAACAACGTGTACAGCATCAGGATGAGATGCCTCTGGTTCGTCAGGAACTTTGTAAACTGAATTAATTTTTTCTTGGGCAATAGTTTGCCTGCGTTCTTCTTCAGCTCTTGCTTCCTGGAAATATTTTTTATTTGAATTGGTTAATTATAGAATAGAGAAAATAAATTTTCACTAATTTCTCTATTTAATATTTGATATGAATTTCCACAAAATAAATAGGTCATCAATGTCTCAACAAACTTTCCATTATTTCTTTAAAATCCTCATGAATTGAATCCAATCACACATTAAAAGTGATATTTTAAGTGTATTGTTTCTCTCGCTTATTTCGTCTTTCCATCTAAAGAGCCACGACCTCTCAGGGATCATTTAAAATAATGCTAACTCTGCTTCAAATAATTTCAGCTTCGTTGAAAGTACCCAATAATTCGATTTATATCAAGAGGAATATTGAATTTAATCAGAACACAGTAATTGGTAAACAAATAAGATAGTTTTGGAAATTTTGAGGAACAGGGTGATAAAACAGAAAAACAATTCACTTGGAAGCAATTCAAAACTTAATGCACATTATTTCAAATAATCCAGGCCCATTTTCTTATAACCTTAGAGAAAAAACGTGTGGATTTAAATCTAGCTGCCTAGAAGACCATGTAATTTCTCTATTTTTCCATGAATCTTCAACGAAGGTTAGATGTCACTATCCTAACGTTAAGTGGTGAAAACCCTGAAAACAAACTTCCATAAGGAATCCCAGAATCTGATAGAATTACTTATTTAATTACAGGTTTATATCACAATCACAAACCTCTTCCAGTCTTCTTTGCTTGGCCTCTTCAGCCAATCTTTGCTCCTCTCTCCTTCTTTCTTTTTCTTGGTCAGCTCTGAGGCTCTCAAGGAATGCCTCATCCTGTTGTGATCTTAAAGACCTATTTAGACTAGCTTCAAACCTGTCAGCTCTGGCAGAAACTAAATTTATCTCATATTCATTTATGACAGAACTTAGCCTTTGAACTAACAACCCTGGATCTGAAAATCCTTCTAATCTACCTGAAAAATGTATTTATTATCAATGAATGAGAAAATTCTTATTTTATCATTCAAATTTTACTCCAGCTATAGATAATAATAACTAAGCATATGAATATTACTGGAGTTTTTTCCCAACACCAAATCGTTATTTTTACACCTCGACACATGTTTCGATCACCAAGTGATCATCTTCAAGAGGAAGATAAAACAGTCGAGGTGTAAAAATAACGATTTGGTGTTGGGAAAAAACTCCAGTAATATTCATTACTACACCAAAGGTTCCAAACAGTATATCACAAGAACTAAGCATATAACTATATTATCTCAAACTGACAAAATTTCAGTAATAAAACAGTAGCACTTATATAACAAACTATATGATTGAAACACCAAAGATTACAGGTATTAATTCCATTTCCAAATCTCATGATTTGTGACAGTGATAATCATAGTAACAACAATAATATAGTACTACAAACAAAGCATTATTACGTATTTGGACACTAAATACTTTGAAATCAATTGATTGTAGCAGCCAATAACAGGGGATAGCATCATTTAATAATTTGAACAATATGACCAGACTGCAAGTTTTCTGTATATCTTCATTGCATTCAATTTTAGCTAGTTCAGTATATGATCTTATGGGTACATACTTCAAAAACTCATAATGAATGCTTTGTAAGTTGATTATGTGCATTTGAAAAAATTCCAAACCATTAGGAGTATATTTTAGATGTAGAAATATTAAAGTGATGAATAAAGATGTCAAATTAAAAACAGAAAATTTACTAGTTTGCCTATGAAACAAAACTCAACATTTGCAATATTTCACTTATAACTTACTGATTAGAACCACTAGAAAAAGTATCTTCAAGACATTTTATTTCAAGACTGAAATATATCGGAATTACTACTAGGCTTATTATCAAAATCTATGCACAACTGTTGAATAGTCACTACTAATTCTGTATACTGATTTTGAGACTATTAATTTTCACTTGATTTTGGTAATTTTTATTTATCAAATCTCATTACCTACAATCGTCATTCGATTTTCCTTCAAAACTAATACTGCCAGAAATGGGTAATGATTGGATTTTGTAGCATGCACAGTCCTCCTTCCTTCTTCAGAATTTATTGAGCAGCCCCAGAAGAGAAAAGTTTGGTTAATAAACCGCACTACGTCAGGATTTGATAATGTTTCACGGCAGAATGTGTCTGTGTCTATGGCATCAGCATTATGTAGATATACTAAAAGAAATCTGAGTTCTCGTTTGGCATCATTTAAAACCTGTGAAAATGTGCCTTGGTAAAATACTGGATGATCACGAGAATATTTTTCTTCATAAGACCTAATGAAATCCATAACTTCTTGAGTAGGATCCGTTCTAGGTCGAAATTCCAAACCTGAAATTTTTTACAAGCCAATAACTTCACTGAATTAAATTCTTCATAAACATACCAAGTAGTCTTCGCCCTATTTGCAAGAAAGTTATAAGAGTACTATAGCACATGTTCCACATGAAACTGAAAACACTTTTTATTGCCCCTGAGACACCACTGCCTGAACCATCCGTTGGTGGTGCATAATAGAAGTGTTGCCCAAGATGATCGCTTACAACAGCAGGAGGTCGAGATTCTGAAGCATACACTGAAGGACGCCCCTCTCGAATATTCAATTGCTCTTGCACAGCTACCTCCAGATTCCACTGGTGTCTTTGAAGAACATCTCTACATATTGTCATATCTTCTATACCAGTCAAGTCTTGAAACTGTAAAACTTTTTCCGTTTGTTCTGTTGTAAGCCCCAAACCCCCATTATCACCAAGGAAGTCCATTTTGAGTTTTTTGTTTAGCAATTACACGTTTTCAATAGAAAGTAAAGTATATGGACAGAAACTAAGACCTATGTTTACTTTTTCATCACCAAAACAGTGACCAGCGAATGTAACTACCAAAACCGAACGTCACATTCATTCACATTTCACTTTTGTGTCTTATGTGATTCAGTGACATCATAATATAGACTGGCAATTAAAAAGAGAACATTGAATACAGAAACTAAATGAAGATGAAAGAATTTACGGCTTGCATTCAGGTTACTTGCACTTATTAACAGATAAAACGTCACGATGTTTTACGTGTTGCATATAGAATTTGTGAAAATTTTGGAATTTGATTTTTGTCAGTTGATGCAGTTGCGTAGTAGCTAAGAATTGTGTGATCCGCAGGAAGAATATAAGCAAGAGTGACGTCAAGGTAAGTTCATATTATCATGTCTACGATGTGATATGTAATTTTTAACCAGGATTACTATATAGGGGGGTTGCGAATATCATCAATTTCGATTGACATTTGTGGCAGCACGGCGGCCAGTGCCGTGTGATTGGTTGAATTCATTGTTCAATGATACTGAATTACTGAATCGTGAAAAATAAACAATAAGTAATAAATATGGAAGTTTTTGATATTATTCATACAAAACAAGATTATTCAGTTGTCGAAGTATCATAGAAAGATGATTGTGCTTATCGAGTTTCCAGGTTACTGTTAAAAATGCGATTGTGCCAGAATCAAGCATATCTTCGCCAGAGAGGATATGACACTGCCCGTATCATCAAATAATAATGTCGAATTGAATAGCAATATGTCTTGGCACTAGGTATTCCATTACTGGAAAAGCAAAAGCAGCTTCTCAGATTTTATACGTTGTGAAGCTCAAATTATACCTTTGCTTTAATATATGGAAAACGGCCATTCGTTTTATCGGATATCCAAACTACACAATTTTTTTATAGAAACTTCCACATGAAGTCTCCTGCTGATAATAGCGACAAGAGAGTCTATCTTACCATTTCTAATTTGTTTACTACCTTTCATATGTATCGTTTTGAAAGCTCAGATTTTCAGAAAATGAATACATAATATAATAAAATGAGATGATAATTTTCGATGTACCTAATTGAAATTTTATATTAATACTGCTTAGCATTCCTTTGACATATTTATTTCGATTCCATTACAAATATTTAGAGTGCAACTGGGGTATCCAATTATCGGAATTATAGCAAAAATTCATCCGCTGCTGTCTCAAGGTATCATTACAGGAATATCTTCGAAAACTCAAAAAGAGGCTCCAAAATGTTTGATAATCGTTCAAACATGTATTTACATAGCGCTTATGTCCTGGCATTATTAAAACATTACAAACTAATAGTACACCCAAAACTATGAAGAGAATAAACGGACTGTGAAGCACTTTTATTATAGATAAAAATGCAAATGCGCCACTGGAATCAATGAAGTCGCCCTGGAGCGCCAATTAATTTTTGTTGTTTCATAATTTCATCATTTGTATTACTTTCTTCGTTATTAATTATAATTCCAGGTTAGAAATGAAAAGATAAAAATATTAACCAAAGAAACTTCAGTAAAATTCATAAACCATCCATAAACTAAACTCACACAGTAGTTTTATATTCTAAAATTCAAACTCAGTATCAGTAACTTCAAAATTGCTGTCACCATGTCACCGATGCTAATCTTGTTTCCATCCACTCCTCTCCGTTTTAGGTATCCCCCATCTGAAACCGAATCTATTTGGCAATCCCCCATATAGGTATAATATTCCTGAGATGATGCATCATCAATAATGATAGAAAAATCACTACAAACATCTATATTGCATATAATAATAAAAATTCGAATTATGGCAATTATAAATGAGATTTTATTGTTTCAAATGTAAATTCCTCAATTTATTTACTTTTTTTTAAATTTAATTGATTCATGCATTTGTTGTACACATTATAAACGATTGTTCATATTTGTTCCATTTTAGATGACAGTTTATTTCAAATGTTACATGAATTGTAATTTGAATAAAAGAGATTAATGAAATAACTTGAGAATTATATTGGTTCCAAAGAATTTTAGAGTATTGCGAAATGAACAGTAATGCAGTAACAAACAAATCGAGGAAATTAAACAAACGTTTCAATTACTCATACAGATTTAACATTTGAAGGAAATTTCAGTTGTTTATTTGACTGTTGGATTATGATGAAACTTCATATTCACTTTTAGAGAGTAATGTTGAAAATATTATTTGCAATAAGTATATTCATTGATTGAAAGTCAAAGTTTTCTCTTGAAATATTATCGGTAATTATTAATACAGAAACTTTCGTCTGTGGAGAAATAAAGTAAATGTCATCACCCGAAGACGATTGTAGATACTAACAATCGAAACGTCGTGAACTAACATGGCTTGGAATCTCTTAACTTTTTTATTTTTATTTTCATTTATATTTCTTTATTTTTTGTTCAATCGTTCTATTTTTACTTGTATTTTATTTCACTATTATTTCATTGTTATTTTCAGCTATTCATTTTTAATTCTTCTTTTTTTTTAGTTGTTTCAGGGATCTCAAAACATTTTATATATTAGACAAGGAAAGTCCGAACTAGTGAAATTCAAACTAAATGAAATTTCAAACATGAATATTTTCCTGAGAATTATAGAGATTATTCCATTTCAATATTATTGAAAATGTTGAATATCTTCTACATTCGTGCATTCAATTCAAAATTTAGATGTAACTTTTGTGTGAAACATTCTAATAGAAGTATTATTCCACTTCATCAATCTTTTCGAGAAGCTAATTTCTTAGGATTTTTTGAAATTTTTGAATTTTTTGATGAATTATGAAGTTTGTTATTTGAAAGATATATTTAAAACGATTGTTGGTAATTTAATTTCGGCGCTGGTGTCGAGCGGATTCATCAAGAACTCAAAGCGTTACATATGGTAACATGCTTGATTAGGTTTTTCTGGTGTGATTCTGGTTCTACAAAATACAGGTTCCAAGACGTAACGATCATGTAGTCTGGTTATTGAGGATATTACTTTCGAATTGGTGAATCCTCTGTTCTGGTTTCGATTGCGAAATTATCTGAAACTGTCTTTATCAATTTTGTCTTCAATTTGTTGATAAGTGTGATGATGTTTTTGAAAAAATGAGAGTACCAGGAATTAACTGAGACGTTATTTCCGTTGATCCAAAATTGAATTGGAAATCTATTGTCCTCTCTTTGTAATCTTATACTGATGAGTTTGACAAAAACACGCCAAGAATAAATTTTTGAAATTGTAAAAGATGTGATAATAATAATGATTATCATTATTATTGCTACATACATTTCACGACTATCTGTTATGGAATAAGAATAATGTTTATATATAATTTTGTCTTATTTACAGGTCGCAATGAATTCTTCGAGTTTCTTTGTTTTACCGGAGACGAACAGTTTTGTAGATAAAATACCAAATGAAACACCAACTAAACCAACTAAAATACGGATAAAAATGAGATTGAGAAAACGTTACAACCAAAATCCACAACGCAAATGAAAAATTTTATTAGTACGTAAAGCAAATTCGAAGTTCTAAACGGTCCTTACTCAAATGTACGAACTAATAATTAACGTTGTGGAATAGTTCCGAATCGGTTTGGAGAAAACCATAACACTTTGTGATCGATACTAGATCGATTCTAACTGAACCAAAACACATTTTAATAACTGCGCATGATCAAACTGATCAGAATTGTGAACCAAAACAAACCTTTATTATAATTCCTCAGGAAGCCGCGGCAACAGTGCAACACTTCTGTATAATTTCCTTTTTCATAGCGGGTCTTGTTAAACGGATCTCAAAAATGGTATGTTGAAAATAACTTAAAATATTTAAGTAATCATTAATTTTTTGTCTGTATATGCATTAGTATTTTGGTAAGCTTTTAGGAAAATGCATTATACTTTGGAAATTTTTTTGTAATTAGGAATAATAAAAATTTTATTTTTGAGGTTAGGTGACTTATTTACTAATTGTCCTTTTCAGGCTAAACGCACCAAAAAAGTAGGAATTACTGGTAAATATGGAACCAGATATGGTGCCTCACTTCGTAAGATGGTGAAGAAGATGGAAATCACTCAACACAGTAAATATTCCTGCAGTTTTTGTGGAAAGGTATGTTAGAATTTTAATATCAATTAGGAAAATATTAAGGAGATGTATACTGTAGTTTTTAATATGAATTATGATTTTAGGAAAAACAAATATTGATAATGAGTATGTTTTTATTGTATAAAGATGAATTCCTTTTCACAGATTTGAGCATAATGTTTTGAATAAAAAAATGACATTAATTCATAAAGTGAATAAGGAACATTATAATATATTGAAAAAGAAAGTAATATAAATCATGAAATCATGAAACAACAAAAATTAATTGGTGCTTGATTCCAGTGGCGCATTTGCTTTTTCAGCTGCAGGAAAACCTGCAGCACAACATCATGTGAAGATCTTGATCTGCCAACTTCCTCTCTTTCTTAAAACAAAATGTAGGGTGACTCCAGAGGCCCCAACAAATTCAAGACATCGCTAAAACACTTAGTGACACGACTATTGTCAAACCTAAACCAGTCTGTTTCGTCTTTGACCAATGTGTAATAATGACCAGATTGGACGCTAGAACCACAGTGAACGATGACTGCATGAAGATTATAATAGTTGTCTGCTAGATTGAAGTGTTCATCTATTTGAAACGTTCGTAAGAGTTTGGTACTTCTGTCAGCGGTTGAGTCATGTTTNTAGGTTGACTGGAGCCTCAGCTATACTTGTTTCCTTGTAATAGCCAGTTAGTTTGGCAATACAGTTGATCATCAGCCGTTAAAAGTTCCATTTTCAGATGATTTAACATTAAGCTTTGCATGGACTAATTATCAATCTTACTCAAAAGGAAGATCACAATATTGACACAAGTTATGTATAGTGTGCTTTTGCATCTCAGGTTCAATTATACTTACTTTCTGTAAACCTGTTGTACATTTTCAAAAGCGGATTTACAAATTTTCATGTGAAATGAGTTACAATAAAATGACAAAAATTTTCAAATATAAACTAATCTTCATTAGTGTTGGTCATGTAAACCATTTTATTTCTGCCATGAACTATAGTTTTTAATTCAATGAGTTTATTATATGTTACAATTTGCATTTTTTGTTGAAGTTCACGGAGTAGAAATCTCGAAAAAAAAACACGTTATAGCAAAAAATGCCCCTTCCATTGTTACTAATATTTCTGGTTTCTTTTTCGAGTGTCACCTTTGTTAATAAATGATTTTATTAAAAAACTTGGAGGTATAAGTTGGTCTTTGACTGAAATGTCTGCTTTCGACAACTACATCATAATTTATTTAGCAATGGAAAAATCTTGAATTGTATTTACTATGTGCTCCTACATGATTCTTTGTCTCCTAGAGCACATTCTTGAGGGCAGAAGACATACGTTGTGGTTTCATAACATAGTTATGTATTGTTCTTTTCTTTTTAGTTTATGTAGGGCATAGGAAGTTTGAGTAGGAAAATTAATATACACAAATTTTTTGTAGAGGTATTTACATTCTCACATATATAGGTATCATAACTTCTGCATTTATATATTGTCAATTTTTTTCATTACAGGATGCCATGAAGAGGAGTTGTGTTGGCATTTGGTCTTGCAAACGTTGCAAGCGAGTTGTAGCTGGAGGAGCCTGGGTATATTCCACAACAGCTGCTGCTTCAGTCAGGTCTGCTGTGAAACGACTTAGGGAAAATAAAGAACAGTAATTTAACTAATAAAAAATTTGAAAATTAACTCTGGTGATTTCCTTTGTTTTGGCGTTATAAATGGATATATTATGGTATAGAAAAAAAAGTAATAGAATTTTTTTGTTCAAGTACGACTCCGAATTCCTTATGAAATTGAAAAAGTAGTTCAGTTATTCGGAGATTCCTTTAGAAATTAGAAATTACTTCTCTGTAATGAGAAGATTCATACATTGTTGAATCCAATGTCGTATCTCAAATTATCCGATTTGGATCACTGAATAAGTAATACATTTTGTCCAGTTAATTATTAAGGTAAGTTATTGAATCATAAAATGTGAAGATGAATTTGTTAAACTCCATTGGAATAGGGTTTGAATAAAACTAAGCAGCTAGCTGGAACTAGCGACCTGAACAATTCTGTAAATGGCGAAGGTTGTGAACCCAAATGTTTACAGATGAGGAGCATCCACGCAAAAGTAAACGAATCCATTTGAAATATATCTGCATAAAACGATATTTTTTTATAAATAGAAAATATGCTACAATATTGAATTATTTTTGCTAAAATTGAGGAGTTTTTTGATATAGTGATATGGGTTTGTTTACTTTTACTTGAAATGTGAGGATTTGTACCGTTTTGCTTGACCAGCCTGTTGGAATTGTTCTCTTTTGACCGATATATAATAAAAGTCGTTTTAAGCAAAAAAATATTTATTAAATCACCCAAGAAAAACATTACAAATAAATGAAAACTTGTATTCCTTTCAACCTCTTTCCTGTTCTACATCTTCAACGATATCTTCTATCATCTGTGTATCATTTCCAATTATATTGCCATCAACTCAAAGTAACAAAAGACAATAGAGATGCCTTTTCCATCCTTACATTGAAGGCAGCATACTTTGTTTACGGAAAGTAAGTTGGACCATAAAACAGTGGCGGTCGGTTTAGTTGATAATCGGAGGGATAGTATATATTTATAAAATGGGGCCAGTTTTACTACCACCTACTAGATTTTCATTTATGTATGGCTTTATAATAAAACGCGTGGTTTACTGGGTTAAAAAATTCATAATAATGATGAATGTTAATTTTAAAAGTAATGGACTTTGCTTCGTAAAATCAAATGGAGAAATTTGTGATTTATTCTCAGATTTGATAAACAAGCGGTACGGTTTGTGAGGTCCGATATAAATAATTTTCGATTAGAAATCATGAATATTTATAATTACGATTGAGGTTTCATATTATTATGTGATTTCATTCAAAATTGGTATCTAGGGGTCTTTGTGGACAGACATTATGTTTTTTTTCAATAATTTATGCTGACGAATATGGACAACCTAAGTGTGACCTGTGACGAGCCAGCACCTTCGTATTTTCTGCAAGGATTTGTTGCATTTTGAGAGAAATTCTGCTGAAATTGACGCAGAATATAAAATGGTTTTCTTAATGATTGGCAACTGCTCGAGTTATAAGTTAATTATTTGACAATCAACTGCTAAAGACTATAAAAAAAGAGAAGAAGAAAATACAAAGTGATGACATTAAATCAAGGAAACAAAAGTAATAAATCTTCATTCACAGTAGCAAATGTGGCAAGGTACCGATCGCGAAAGAATAGCACCTAAAGGCTGACTTTCGACCAAAAGATGTCAGATGTCAAGTGAGTTGAGGATCGCTCGGAGAGCGGGGGTGGATGGAGTGGGGTAGTAGGTCCTCCTTGCTAAATAGCTGGAGGGGGGAAGCTCCTACTTCAGGGCACTCAACCCGTGAGGGGGCATGGGGGGGACAAAGGTGGCAAAATGAAATCTCACCGCTGCCAAATTCACTGAGAATATACTAGTTATTACTGAGAAAAAATATTTGCAAAATTCTAAAATTAAATGCATTGTAACGATGTAAACTATCTCCACATTGCCTTTGCGTATATCCTATATCTTAAGTACAAAGCTGAAAGCATGAATTAGGGAGGGTAGCTTTATATTTGTTTGTCAGTGAGTATTTCTCCATTCTCTCTCTATGTTAATGGCTTTTGCTTCCATTGAGGCGTATTGAGTCAAATTTCTCCATTCAAGTTCAATGCTTCATTTGTCATAGAACCATGGATAATGCAGAACACACAAAATACTAGTAGGTAGTGGTTGTGTTCTGTCCTCTCTTTTCTTCTGTCAACAATTCCGAGATAATTTAAAATGGCGTTTAGTTTTTAGTGTCCGAAGTGTTTTCGAGTTGTTAGAAGTGAATTAAATACTTCAAATGGTGCTATTATTGAATTTCAGATGTTTCCAATATATTTTCAGGACAATTAAAGTAGTTATATAGCATCAAATTTGAGAAAACTCCCGACAAGTAAGTAAGACAAATGAAAATAAAATCCACGGCTTCGCTTGGTTCAATAACATGGCGGCCTTTTATTATGGAAATCCAAAATATTTTATTATACGGTGTCTTTTGTGACGGTGACGACTTTCAGGATGTCGGAGTCAGGTGACGTTCAACAACCCAGTAGCCCTGCAGAATGGGACAAGGCGCCTTGCAGAGTATCAATTACCGACCAGGAGATGGGAGGTTTGACCTCGCTAGAGTGGCAGAACCGCTGGAGACAACAGGATTCTTTCGTTACCCTTTTGGAGCGAAAAACAATTCAACAAGAAGGTACTTAGTTCAGTTATTAATCGTACTAGTGTCTTGGGGGGTTTGATAGTTATTAGCGGGCTGTATCATGATGGTGCAGTGCAGTGTAAGGTGCTAAGCGGTGAAAAGTGGTCGGTAGTTAACGTGTGCTCATTGCAGGGGAACTCGCCGACCTGCGACAGGCCAACGAAAGGGTTAAAGCACAGCTGATCGATTCACAACAGCGGGAAAAGGTTCTCATTCGCAGATTGACTGCCAAAGAGCAGGAAACTCAAGATTATGCGGTTAGTAGTTGCAATACTGAAATGCTCAAATGTTCTTAAATATGTGCAGTGTTAAAAAAGTGATAATCTAAAATTTCATGGTGAAAAGCATGTTTTTTCAAAAATTTGCCTGTCAGACCTCGACAATGATTTTGATGTTTTGGGTGTTCTATTTAGTTCTCTAAAATTTGTAGTGGGTATTTTCTATTGACTGGTTAGCTATTCTTGACTTTAAGACCATCGTGGCCAAGAGGTCCCCAAGTTGAACCATTATTGTTAGATGAACATGTTTTAGTTTCCTGCTTAATTTGAAAGCAGTGGTGTATAGGTAATGATTCCCGAGAACATATAAAATGTACATCACTAGCTAGTAGAATTTATTTTAAATGAAATCAAACAGTTGATGTATTTTAGATTGGTAGTAGTATATAATGTCATGAGTGTTTTTCAAACTTTCAGTGGGTACTTTTAATACATATAGTTTAATACATATAGAGTGATAACTTGTTTGGTGAAATTAATTATCTTTAGCCTAAATTGAACACTGCTAAGATTTGTACATGAATTTTACTGACTATAGGAAAAATTTTGAACACAAGATAATTCAGTAATACATACTCCCAACATAATAATTTTGCTTGATCATTCATTTATTACATTTCTCAGTTTGAAATTGCTTTGTTACTTAGTTGAAAAGTTATATCAACTCCTTTAATTTTGTCCATCAACTGTGGATTTCAGTTTAATTATTAGGAAGATGTCTAAGTAGGAAAACAGTTGGACCAAAATTCACTGAACAGCTTATTGACACATCTCAAACAATTAATACATACAATTTTGTTTTTTTATTCCTCAGGTTTCTCAAGTTCATAATCTATGATGCCTAAGTTGAAGTTTTAATAAAATACCACTTATATCAATCTTCAATCAATTTCTTAGTTTTATTACCCTATTAACATTATTGTTGATTACACAGGTCAACAAAAAAAAATGTTTGTTGTACAAGCTTTTTGAACAAATTTATTTAAATCTTTTGCATTTTTGTATGGTGAAACCGTATTTCATAACAGTTTATTTTTATCACCCACCATTCTTTCACAATATGATATTGATTTATTACTTTGAAAAAATAGGGAAAATCTGATATAAACAAATTCAGAAAATCATAGTTTTTTTATATTGGCTATATTTTCACTTACAATCATATTTAATTACTCAAATTATAATATAAAATGCTTAAATTATAATATTTTTTATATTTCCTTTCCCTTTTCTCCGTAAAATTTCTTGTATAGCTTTTCCTCCTATGAATTTCATTTTGTTGTTCTCTGTGAAGTGACCAACAGTAACCACCCATCATTTCGATATTCCATTGTCCCTAGTATTGTTTCTCCATCTCTTTTATGTCCTGATGAAACCAATCCCTTTGTTCTTCACTCGCATCACCTAAGTTTTAAGGAAAAAAGTCAAGATAAGTTTAGAGTTGGGGTGTTTGGCTTTATCCAAAAACTTAAGCACAACTTCTTTAAATGATATCCAAGCCTTATATTTCTTCTCATTCAGTGTTGCTTCGAAGTTTGAATCGAAGATCAATTTACGGATGCCAGGCCCCTTCTTTTTATTTAGCTTCTGATAAATGAGGAAATTTCACACAAATATTTTAAACAATCACCATCTTCAGGCAAAGCTTTAACAAATTGTTTAAATAAACCCAACCTTATGTGAAGTGTAGGTAGAAGAATCTGCTTGGGGTCAACTAAAGTTTTGTGTAAAATGTTTTTTATGTCAGGTCTCAAAGTTTTCCTTCAGGGCCATTGTTTTTGAGACCAATGTTGATTCCTTGCTCTGTTGTCCTATTCACATATAAAACATCCCTTTTGTTGACCAAGGAGTATGGAGACAACATTCAAATCCCTACACAGCATCCGATCATGAGCTGTATAGTTGATTTTTTCTAAAATGATATTAAGGTTTTCGTAAGTTTCCTTCATATGTATCGAATATGCCACAGGCGCTGATACATAAGTATTTCCGTTATTTAATAACACACCTTTCAAGTTTTCAAAAACTACACCTCACGATTTGATCCCCACAAACTTTATTTTAAAAATATATCACATGTTTCGCTAGCACAGTAGCTTTGTCAAGTCAATAGGGACATTTTCATATGTATAAGTTTGAAAATGTCCATATAGGACGAAACTGCAGTAACGTTAGCTACAAATAAAAGTGGTAAAAAACATAGAAAGTTTCATTTCTCTTTTCTTCATTATGATTTCCTACCACGTAGTAACGGCTACATCCATCAATTTAACCATAGAATATTTTATTTCATTGTCGACCCCATTACATTTTAATAATGATGCCAACTTCAAAATATTTAAGTAGTTAAAAATGTTTCTTATACATTTTGGTACATAAACTTTATTTTGTGAAAAAATGATAGAAACTGGTGGGTGAAACATATTTTTTTCGTAACCAGGACACCAAATTATGCAGTACTTAGTTAAGATTATCGTAAAAGTTGTTGGCTTGTGTTATTATTTCCTGCAATACAATGGTAACAAAATAATTTTCTGAGAAGTTTTTTTTTTTTATCTATGGCTTCACCTAACGAGGTCGTGTTTGAGGAAGATATATTATTAACCTCCTAAGCCACTTAAGAAGATCATTGCTACTTTGCAGTCCCGTCGGCCATGTAATATAATTATAAAAAAATATATGGTCCAAAGGGGATTTGTACTTGAAATCTTTATATTGAGAGTTGGACAAACTACCACTATGCCTCTATCCACCACTTAGTTTTGTTTTTAGAATGTAGTTTTGTTTTCAGAATGTTATATTCGGATAAATAGAGAAACTGCTAGTTTTTCTGAGTTAATACATGTTTTATATACTAATACTATTTGAAATGGTAAATTCTCATTCAACATTTTAATGGATAATACGAGCTTTGTTCCTTTTTCCTCTCTAGTTCGAAACTTGCTGCATGTCTTTTCAGAGACAAAAGCAAAATTAAAATTATGTGTAATATGTGATTCAGATAGATCTGATTTGGAATTATTAATGTAGACAAATTTATTACTTGAATTCTAAATGAATAGTGTAGCATATGAGAAATATTGCATTTCTCGGTCATGTCTTTATTTGAACCAGTATGGAACCGTATTTCCATACTCCGTAACATAGTCTAAAGTAGTCTAAACAATAATATATTTTATGTGCCCGAAATTTCTAAAGTAACTTCTCTAGGATTTTTCAGTACCATGATAAAAAGCATTCTAACTGTCATACCTAATGTAGTACATAATCGAAGTCAAATAGGCAACAGTCACAGTGTTCTAGCTGTCCTCATAGCATATATAGAAAATACTGCATTATAAGAAATTTGTTATGAGATTTAGAGGTCTATAGAGGACATTTTAATAAGTTATAGTTTTACTAGTTTATTACTATTTATTAGTTTAGTTAGCTAGTTCTACATACATATCATGCTTATGTCACGTTTGTGACCACCTTCATGTTTAGATTAATGATACCTTCGATAATGGATTCTTATTTCAAGAGAGTGGTTTCAATACATTTGTTCACATAACCCATTATTGATTCTCAAGTATTTTAGAACAGATTTGAATAAACACTCTTAAGGAAAATCTTTAATAATTCTCAAATATTTATTTTCAATGAGGCTTCTGTTGTTATGGCCATTGGCCTACTTGAAAATATATTTTTTTCAGGTGACTAAGTAGCCTCAGGAAGCATAAATTTAGAAATTTATTTTAAAGAGTTGAATATCTTTGAAGAATTTTAAAAGGCATATGCTTGATCTCTCAGAATCGTGGCTGTATTATTGTATTATAGATTAAACACATTTCTTTTTATTTAAAAAATTGGGCGCTTCTCTAGAATATGTAACAGATAATTATAGATTCCATGGTGTGTAAGCTATCAGGGCCGGTGTCTAACAAATTGTCAGATGTTTCCAGGTTTATTAGCCATGGTCTGCAAGTTTTCATATCTGCATATGAAAACCTTCAGAAACCCAAAAACATCGGACAATTTGTTGTACATTCCATGTTTTGCAGGAGGGTGGATCAGGTGCAATCGTTCTGAACATTTCAAGGGTTAGAAAAATTATGGTACAAGCTATTTTAATTCTATTGAGAGGGGAAAAATGAAGTCAATTGACGGAATGAGAAGAAATTGGTGGTAGTTCGAAGAAGCATTTTCTAATCTCTGACAATACCTAGCTTGAAAGAACATCTCAAAACTTTCCTTTGGCGCTTTCAATTTGCTTAAACATAGCAGTCATATTGTGGAGAACACAGACAAAATAATAATTCAAAGAGATGTTACTGAAAAAGTCAATCATCTATTTCCCTAGAGCAATCATCAGAAGACTTCAAGGGGTGAAGGATAATGAACGGAAAGTAACAGACGGTTATTCAAATGATAATTGTGACCAGTGTTAGGGATCCAGTTCTCACCGACTGCTGCTGGCTTCTAGCTCATGAAATTTAATTCCAAAAGTATGCTAATATATGGGTTTACAGTTTTACAGTTTTTTATTGCACGAGGAATTGCATAACCATCTAGACCAGGCTAGAACCTTGCGTCTTTCAAGCGAGCTGAGCCTAGATCGACCAGTTGTCTGAATGTTACTCCTTTAATATGACTTGTTTTTTTAAACACCACTCACTTGTGTGTATAGATTCTATAGTGATTATACACACATTTCATCATTCATCAGAAAATAATTATTTATTCAAAAACAAAATGTTTTATTTGTCTCACTTTTCAATTACAAGTTGTGAACCAAAAAAATTTCAGAGAATTTTCACTTTTTTCAGGTAATTTCAAATATTTCATTTATTATGTTAGTATTCACAATCATCCAAAATTATAAATTACTTTGATGTACCCTTTTTTCATCTGACAATATTGTATTTAGTTGTAAACATGGCCACTATGAATAACATTTCTAGAAGATCTTCGATTATTTAGAAAGTTTTTGACATTCTTGTATTCTGATTTCATATTGAAAAGCATTTATTAAAGAAGAAAGTAATACAAAATTATGAAACAACAAAAATTAATTGGTGCTCCAGGGCGACTTCATTGATTCCAGTGGTGCATTTGCTTTTTCAGCTGCAGGAAAACCCGGAAAAACCTGCAGCACCACATCATCTGAAGATCTTGATCTGCCAATGTCCTCTCTTTCGTAAAACAAAATGTAAGGTGTCTTCAGAGGCTCCAATAAATTCAAAACATCGCCAGAACACTTCGTGATATGACTATCGTCAAACTTGAACCAGTCAGTTTCGTCTTTGACCACTGCGTAATAATGACCAGATTCAATGCCAGAACCACAGTGAACAATGACTGCATGAAGAATATAATAGTGGTCTGCTATAAATTGAAAATTATTTAGGGTGAAAGTCAAATTTTACATGAGAACCTGCAGTACACTTCCAAAGAAATTTTGTGGGATTGGATGGGTCACAAATGCCTCTACTGCAAATGTGGCTTGGGAAATCATTGACAGTATTAATGTGTTTCAATACTTTCAAGAAAAATTTTGTTTTCTAATATTTTCCAATTGTTCTGTTGCAAAAGTGAAAACTATATACGTTTCTGTTAGTGAAGTTTATAAGATTATTAGTTTATTCATATATTTTCATTGCATTATACACATAAACTTTTCATTTTCGAGTTGTTTTATGCCTTATTATATTTCAAATTTTCAAAATTGCTTCAACTAAATTAATGTTTCCGCCAGACTATTATTTAGTTCATATTTATATTTTATTCTCACATATACAGACTTGTACTGGTGTTCATATCATTTGAATCAACTATATTTAGATTTTTAGCTCAACTTACTTAGTGAATAGTCAGACTGTCACGTATAGGTTCCTCGGTCAGGGAATTTAATTCAATGAAAGTGCTTGAACACTATTTTCCCCAACTGAGCTAACAGAATATTTAAAATCAATGCCATCTCCATTTTTGAATGAAACAAAGAAGTTTTGGATAATGGAAATCAACTAAACGTTGGGTCGTATATTCTGGTTTCGAATATAAGTTTAATTGAAGGAACCATAAATAATTTGTGTGGGGGGCAACTGACATGACCGGTAATTGAGTATTAATTAGCTGCAGTAGCAGGCTATTTTGATATTTCCGTGTCAGATTTCGACTGTTATTATTCTGTAGTCAGTATTGAATTCAATGTATTCTGTGTGGACGTATATAGTTCCCCCCTCTCAACTTTTGAACAGTAAAAGATATCGAGATAGGACCAAATCCACGTGAAAAAGTATAATTTTTAGTACTTTTTGATAAGAGAGACAATAGTGTTGCATCACTCGTCGCCAAGAGGGCCCCAGCAACTTTTTTTTTTCATATAGAAAGGAGGTCTTCTGATAAACTTGTTGGATAGGTATTTCAATTCTCTATCCAATATTTTTTCGTTGTTGGAAATCGAATTAGGCATTTCCGAGTAATTGGCAGTTTTATATTTGTTCTGACAATCCGCCAAAGAACTAAAAATAAAAATCATACTCAATTAAAAAAAAATATTCAAAAGTCACTCCAGCCTATTCCAATAAATATTCAAAAGTTTATTATTCAGTCCTTGACAATACTAAAGCCTGTTTTTCTATCGACGAGTTCTGAAATAAAATGCGACATAGTCCCTCAAAAACATTTGGAGGCAATATATCAGGCTGATTTGAAAGTGGGTGGGATGACAATTATCCAAACCAGTGGATAGGTAAATGTAGTTCCTTAGAATGACCTGGTGCATCACTTGATATGACACACTTAGATTTTTGTGGGGATTGGTAAAATCTAAAGTTTACGTTACACAACCGCAGTTTACTTTAGAGTTCATGGTTATGATGAGAGGTGCTCCTAACAAGATTACCTCAGAAATGTGTAAACAAACTTCATTATTGTCAAGAAGTGAATGGTGACCAATGAATGAATAAACTGAAGTGAGATAAAAAAAAATTTTTTCTTGAAATTATTATATTTATCTTTTAATTGTGGATCCTTAAAACTAATATAAAACTGTTAATTACTCGAGAACGACTGGTCCGATTTTCAAAAATAACAAATTTTGCATAGGATATTGAAATTCCTATCAAACGAGTTATCACAAGATTCCCTTTCTATCTGAAAAAAAAGTTGGAAACACTCTCTCAACGACGAGTGATGCAACACTATTGTTTTTCTTATAAAAAAGTGCTGAAATTTAGATTTTTTTAACGTAAATTTTCGGAGGACTATTTATGCCCGCACTGTATAACTGAACATACTAAACCTCATATTTTGTATTCAATTTGACCTTTTGTTTATGTGGAAATATACTCAGATATTCATTTCTGGTAAGAACCCACGATGAACAACATTGTCAAACATTTTTCTGAAAATTCCACAACTCTATTTTCAAATTTATTTTATTGTAGCTCTGAAGATGGCTACAAACGCCGCCGAAACTTTGGCATTTGAATTGTAAGAAAATAAGAACGTGTTCCATATACAATTGTCATTGAATAGCTTGAAATTAATTAGATATAATCTGTTATAGGTGTCTTGTTGAAAGTTAAAGAGCGTATAGTCAAATGTTGGTTTTTTTGATTAGCTAGAAATCAATTTTTTGCAAGAATATTCCTGTTGAGTAGTTTGTATTGAGTAGACTTATTTTTTCTGATATATGGTCTTGCATCTTACCAGGGAGAAAGTAAGGTGTGGTTGGTTATCGTGGGAGACTTTTTTATTAAATAATTCTTGCTTGCACTCCATATATTTTTGATGAATAATCCAACAGTTCTTTTGTAGGTGGTATTATTTTTATTATTCAATTATATTTTGAAGAACATTTGAGCATTTATCAATTAGGTACATATGTCAATTGGAATACTCTCATTATTAATTGAAAATGGTACTATTTTGAGATTTTTTTTCAGATAACTAATAAATAGTTACCTTAATATTTGGAAAGTGCTGGGATACAAGAAATTTCAAGATAGTAACATTTCAGATTACCATTTATGTATTCCTACTTTATTTAACTTACATTCATATATTTCTCTGCTATAGTGTCAACTCAATGATTTGAAAAGTTCCCAAGTCCCAACAACATCATCTCTAAGGTCAGCTTTACTGGATCCGGCAGTCAATAGTTTGTTGCAGCAACTGAGGTCTGAGCTGCAAGCAACAAGATTGAAACTAGAAGACACCCAAAATGAGCTATCTGCTTGGAAATTCACTCCCGATTCGAATACTGGTAAACGTCTCATGGCAAAATGCAGACTGCTATATCAAGAAAATGAAGAATTGGGAAAAGTTACGAGCTCAGGAAGGATAGCAAAATTGGAAAGTGATCTGGCGCTACAAAAAATATTCTCAGAAGAAGTTAGGCAAAGTCAAAACGAGTTAGATTCTTTTCTAGCAGATTTGGATGAAGATGTAGATGGCATGCAGAGCACGATATTGTTTCTGCAGCAGGAACTGAAAAAGACGAAAGACACTGTTCAAGTGCTTCAAAAAGAAAATTGTACTTTGAAAATGGCTAACGGTAGAGCGAATGGTGACACTAGTGTTTGTGAACAAGAACGGACTGATTCAGAATCTGAGAACGAGAGGACTCGTGTTAAAAGAATAAGGAGGTCTTCAGTTCTGAGTATTGACTACAATGAGGATGACACCCTTGTTATTAACACCAATGGTGACGTTGCCATGTCCTCGGACCCAGAATAGTGATGACTGAAAAGTATCACTACAATCAAGCTCACCGGTGATATTTCATTTGTTTCATTCATAAATGTTAGATGATATACTGAATATGAGATATCCCGATTATAGTGTAATGGAAATAGTTGAAAAAAAAAATGAAAAAACTATAGAAAATCAATTTCTAAACTTCATTGATGTAATCACATTACGATATCAATTACTCTTCAATTAATGAAGAGGTGTTCCGCAGATTTCGTGGTCATTAAACCTCGAGGTTTTTTAATTCATTTAATTTATTTTCAAAAATACAATTTTCACTTCTTGGGTCATCTCATATTTTTCAAGAAACAAATGGAAGAAAAATATATATGTAGATTTGAAAGAGTGAGGTATACTTCTAGATAATGAGTGTGACTAAACTGCTTTTGAGTGAGTGAGCTGTTTTAGTATATGAGAATTTCAAACAAACTGATGAACAGTATAAAAAAATTGTACACGAATTTTCAGGTACACGGTTAATTAAACATGGAGTAATTATCTTGTGTGCTATAGAATTTGTTGAAAATTGTTGCAGTGCAGCACTTGCAGATATTTTTGAGTAAGTAGTGATAAAACAAAGCAAAGATAAGTTAATTAGTAGTTCTCTCATTTATTAGTATTTTTTATATGATTTGCTTTGTTTTTTTCTACTTGACTCCAAAGGAATTGTTGATCATAATCTATTATCTCACATTTTATCAAAAATGTATGTATAATTTTTTAAAGTTTTTATGTTTGAATTTGTAAAAAAATTACAAAAACATAATATATATAGAATTATTGAGTTTATTTTGTTATTCAATTCTGTATATTTTAGACATTCTAGTAATTTTAAAAGGCTTGATATATGGACTAGATGGAACTTGAAATGTTTTTCACTATGATATAGGTCAATTTAGAAAATAGTAATATTTGGATTCATCTTGATCTTCAAAATATAATTTTTCTATATATCAACTAATCTACAACAATCATTATTGAAACTTTTCGATTTTTCAAAAACAATCGTGATATTTTTTTGCTAGGGTTATAATTGCAAGTGAAATATGATAATCTCAAAAGACAAACGGGTGTTCACTCAGAATAACATTTCAGCATATACACTGCTGATCTAAACAGTCCTCCAGGTAAGTTTTGAAGGAGATAATATATCAAGATCGGACAAAATTCCCGTAAAAGGGCATCATTTTTACTACTTTTAAATAATAAAGACAAGAGTCTTGCATCACTCCTGCCAAGAAGGCTCTACCTGCTGGTTTTTTTCAAATAGAGAGAGTCTTGTGGTACATAATGTAAGAATCAAAGTTGATGCTATCTTGATGGGACATAGTGGATTTATGCATTAGTCGTATGTCACACAAAGTTTAAATCTTGAAAATTTGTTTTACACGTGTTACTACTAAAAACTTTTTCAACTGGTGCAACACATGTTTCACCATATAATTATACCTTTGCTCACATATATGAAAAACGACAATTCAAATCTGTTTTTTCGTTAACCAGCTGTCGCACCCCTACGAACGATAACTCTCAAGACAAAACTAGTAATTGGAAACACAAATTACACAACCTATTTTTATTCTGCTGATGAAGAGAGAGGCAATTGTACCATTTCTTATTTTACTACTACCTTCCACATTTATTTCTTTGAAATCTCGAATTTTCAGAAAATAGACATTAAAAAATTTATTTTGTTATCAGTATATTTTTTTTGAAAAGGATTTTCAAGAATTTTCATTACAACACATTAGATAATTTTACAATGGTACCAATTTATATTTACTAGCACTTCTTTGAAAAAGTTGCATAACAGGAATGCAGTACATTTGGAATGGAAAAAATATTTTCCAATTTTGTTCTTTCAGAATATGGGGAAAAATTATTGATTGAGATTATTGATATACTTCTTACATTATATTCTTGAAACTTCTAATTTCCTCGGTAGAAATATCACTAAGTATCAAAATGTATCTAATACCTAAAAAATAAATTGCATTCTTACAATTCTTAACATTCTTACAAAAAAATGTTTCATCAATGTAGTACTAAAAAGTATGCTAGGGATCATTTTTGATAAAATACAAGAAAAAGTCCCTCTCAGGATTGAATTTTGACAGTCCTATACCTGGTTTTTTCATTGAACACTCTAATTGAACTATCAATAGGAAAGTAAATTCCATAGTTTTTGTATGAGGGAAGGAAATGTGGAACAGATCATCATTTCTGACTGTTATCTTTGGCACAAGTGAATCTTCTAGAGAAGTTCCAGATATGTATGTATTAAGGCCATTAATTTGTATAGAAATATGAGGTAAGCACACTCTTCTGCTCAATAGATCGAGGTTAAGACTTGAAAAAATTGTATATTTAATTTATAAGCACAGAATCTTAGGACTTTATGTTGGTTTTTTTTCAATTTGGCACAGTAAGTTGTAGAAAATGGTGACCAAATAATAGAGCCATATTCTAAGCAGTAGACTATTAAGGCAAGATACATCATTCTCACTGAATTGATTGATAATAATTTGCAGTTTCGTAATATAAAGCCCAGTAGCCTTGATATTTTGACAGCAATATGCTATATAAATTGCAATTTCTCGTCAAAAATAACTCCTCCCAGCCAGGTAGGGGTACACCGTGAAGGGCGTGGAAACCTACTATTTTGTCTCTGGAAATATCATAATAAAGATGAGATTTCAAAGATATTTCGTCTAGGCATAAAATACAATCTCTTTCTGTCTCCTTCATGAGCCCAATCCTGAATTCAATAACACGAAAAATAAAATCGTTGAAGCCTGGTTCAACAATCCAATTTTTCGTGAAACGATGAAGTGTGAACCTTGTTAGCGAAACACGCGTCGAGTACAAAAAATATCAGTTTGGTGTTAGGGTAATTGATCTCTAGGAGAAGTTTCAACTTTTCACCAAAGGTTCCAATCTCATAGTTTATTAGCTCAACCGTTGTTTACTTTGAAAGTGTTACATATTCTAATTTGCTACTGAAATCAAAATAAAGTCTTTGGGATAGAAAGTTTTTGGCTTTCTACTACTCCATCTCGATACAAGAAATGTGGGAATCTTCCAAAAAAAGGAAGGAAGCAGTCAATTTTAAAAATTAACTATATAAAGTCATTGCTATGGTTGATTCCAATAGCAAGATAGAAATAATATTCATATGTAACAGTTCATGAAACATAATTCGCATATGAAGGGTAAATAATTGTAATGTTATAAAGTTTGGCATAGTAAATAAAACAGGTTAATCAAATAAAACAATAATATAATATCAAGCACCTAAACTATTACATGTGGTGGCTTTTTCAGTTTTTTTTAATTCTATTTAAATAGATTTTATATGCCTGAATCTTAACTGAATTAGTACCAGTATAGGGTATGGATTTTCCTTGCATAATTTTATTCACACTTTTACAGAAATGGTGCAATATGGTTCTAATTGCAATTCTCAAAATCAAATCAATAACGCTTAATTTATGTTGATTTTCACATGTTAAAAATTCAAAATCAACTTGTGCATTAACAATTTGTTTGATTAAATAAACCAGTGTTCTTGAATGTGGTTGTCTATCAAAACAAAAGTGTATAATTTTATAAATATCATGAAAACATGAAACAAATGAAGGGGATGGGTAACAAAGCTTTCTAGCCCAGCCACCACCATATTCTCTAATAGAAATGAATCTATTTGCATCAGATTCATAATTGGTTGAAAAAATTGTGTTTTTGCAATTTGAACATATTATACTTTTCCTGATTATTTTCAAAATGAAGCCAGCTACATAACTAGTGGACAACTCATTCAACTATCCAGATAGAGTGCTACTCTGATTATATGTTATATCTGCATATTGTATAGCTTCAGTAACATTACTGTCAGCGTTACGTTCACAAAACAGTCCCTTCAAAGAATTAAACAAGTTTTCACATTTGTCATCTTCACAATTGAATGAATTTCTGTAAAATGAGAGGGCTGTATTAAAAAGCACAGTTTTATAAATGCTTGTGAATTGGGAAGCTGAAGGATTGGTGTATAAGGCTCCAAAGCTTCTCAATTCTATTTGCATCAGATTCATAATTGGTTGAAAACATTGTGTTTTTGCAATTTGAACATATTATACTTTTCCTGATTATTTTCAAAATGAAGCCAGCTACATAACTAGTGGACAACTCATTCAATTTTCCAGATAGAGTGCTACTCTGATTATATGTTATATCTGCATATTGTATAGCTTCAGTAACATTACTGTCAGCGTTACGTTCACAAAACAGTCCCTTCAAAGAATTAAACAAGATTTCACATTTGTCATCTTCACAATTGAATGAATTTCTGTAAAATGAGAGGGCTGTATTAAAAAGCACAGTTTTATAAATGCTTGTGAATTGGGAAGCTGAAGGATTGGTGTATAAGGCTCCAAAGCTTCTCAATTGACCAAACATATTTTCAAGCGGATCCTGGTTCAGCCGTCTTGTTAACAAATAATCAAAACCATTGGACTTCAGAACCTGCCAAATATTCTTCACATTTTTTATGACGAATGACCAATTCTTCAGGCTGGGAGGCCTTCTTTGATCATTTTTCTTTATTCTCTGAAACTCCATTCCATCCAGCAGTAACAGGGCTTCTTCATTCCAAAAACGAAGGTGATCAGAGGTGTCACTTAAACCACACCGTAATATTTTTCCCTTCTCTGGATTTTTTTTTTAAACCATTCAAAGAGTCAAATAAACGATCGAAAAAAAACAGTAACTCAGATGTATGCTCCACATGGGTTCCGATTTTGTTTGCAGAATCTGCAATAAAACAACAATAAATGTAGTATACACATAAACCTATCAATGTTCAGTTTGATATGTATGTTTCATAGTAAAAATTGTATCTGATATAAATATAATTGAGCTATGCACCAGTACTAATCAAAATATTTGAAACTGAAATAATCAGATTTAATCCTTATCAAAAATTATGCAATGAAAAATATAGGAAAAGAGATACTCACTAATCTGATTTGCCAACTGAAGAGTTGATGCAAACCTCTGGCTGAAAATGTGAGCTGCATTCTTCACTTTCATTTTTCTAATTTTATTCTCATAGATGTGTTCATCAGTAATATGTGGCACAACTTTTAAACCGTCAATTGGTCCGTTATCATTTTCATAAAGCTTTCGTACACGCTCCCATTTTGCTGTTTTCCTGACATTATTTTTTGAATAATGTGAATCCTTTTTGATAAAATTATTTTTCATTCCTTTCAACAAATGAGGAGGATCCAGAATAGGATAGACTTTGAATTCATCAATTTCGAAAGAACCTTCTCGATATGTGGATATGTTACCACATCTCAAATATTTCTCTTTGGTGTCATTCATTAGACTATTGATGACACTAATATTATTCTGATCACATATTACTGTCAGAGGTTTTAGATCGATGTTTATTAATTTTCTTATTATTTCAGTTAATAACTGTTTCATTTGCAAGGTTTTTGCACCCCCTCTACTGGAAAAATGGTAAGAGATAGGAGCTTTCCATTGTTTTTTCTGCCTTAGTTTCTTGCACTTACTTGATTCTCGAAATTGCAATCGAATCAGTATTGCTGCCAAGGAATTCAGCTTTTCCATGTTATGCTCCAATTCATATTTATCCTTGAATGTTTCAGCTTCATGTAATCTTTTGCTAAGGTTTTTTTTACTGTTCCTCATATTATTCATTGTTTTTTGCAATACTTTCACTATGCATATAACTTTTTTTTTCTTGGTGTGATTGCCTGCTTACAAACTTCTGAATGCTTCAGGAGCTGAAATGGTGACATCAGACAACCAATAGCATTTTTTGAAAAAGAATAATGTCAATTACTCCACCAATAAATTAATTGATATGAAAACTTATTCGTGAAAACGCAAGATATGGTAATGAAGAAATAACCAAACCAGTACATACCATTAGAGGAATCCGGTTCCAAAACCAATGTCAATGGCACGGTTGAAGAAGTTGACGGCTGATCTGGATCGAATAGATCAATTTCATCTGAAAATAAAATAGTAGGCAAACTTATTAAAAACTGCTTAGATGAAGGTTCAAAATAATTGTGTCAATGAAATATTCAAATTGAGATTTTTACGCATCTCAGAAGTCACGCTAATATGAGGATTGAGATGTCAGAACTGACTGTTAATGATGAGAAGAATAATTTTACCTGAATTGTTTTATTGTTTGGACGTTCAAGAATTGAATGGAAATGTTTTTATTACCTCTCAAAAATAATGTAGACACAGCCATTGTTTGAAGTCTACTCGACATCGATGAATGGTACTTAGCATCGAAATGTTTATGACAAATTCTTTTAGAGTGATACACCATTACTGAGTCCATTTCATTGATATCCCTGTCATTGATAGAGTGCACCCATATTCAGAATTTTTGTAGATATTCTCCAGGATTTGGAAATTTGTGTAGCGGTGCAGATGCTGAACACTTTGAAACGCAGCATTTCCTACACGACATAGTTGAAAACGAAGTTCACTAAGAATGATGAAAAAATATTAAATGTAAGAATGTAATAACACTGGATAAATATGTTTATATGAGATACAAACTAACTTATCGGAGAACACTAATAAAAATAATACGTATCAAATTCTTTCCAAAGGAAAAATCTAAACAATCAACATAACCTATAATATTTGCAGAGACCCCTATAGGACGAAACAATGAACTACAAAAGCGACTTTGACCTTGATCATCTACGTGAAACGTCTAGAGAGTAAGTAGTTTGTGAATAATCGTACCGACCAGCAGTGACCAGCGCTCCCGTGGGCAAACACTGGTGATCTTAAATCCAAATACCTCATTTTGAAAAGTTGTTGTTCTGTTCATGCGCAGGACGTAGATCTAGCTAGTAACGATATTTTTCAACCAACGCTGATCTAATATATGTAGGTAGTGCATTGCCAAATGCTACTTTGAAATCACACAAATCTCTTGGTATTGAGAGGTTGGATGATTTCTTCTATAAGATTATGTAGTGATAAATTTGTTGATTCGCCAGTATGAGAAACATACTGGTATTCACGGTAGACGGACATAAAGAAACTCATCTGTTATGTCCGTCCGGTAATCATTCAAGTTTTTTCAGTAGGAAATTTGTTGGGCTAATTGTTTGCCCAGTTTAGGCTTTTGGTATATATACCCTTGCCGTCAACCATCTGCATGGTATGCTATAATGCTAGACTAGCTCATTATAGTTTTATGAGAATGAAAATGTCCAGTTCCTTTTCAAGTAGAGCTAGAAATTCACTTGTATCATCCTCGCCGGGAGATTTGAAAGGCTGATAGATTAGTACTTATAGTGATCAAGTATTGTACTTTGAGAAAAGTATATTTCAATAATAAATATATTTCGATCCTCAAATGGGTTTCACTCAATACACTAAAGTAATTATATTTTGTGTCTACCTGGGATTAACTGTTTCAAAGGCTACAAGTTTTTACAAGTATAACTACAGATATTTTGATCCCTAAAACTTTCATTCGAAACATATTTTTGACAATTTTCCCTTCACCTTGTCAAAAATATGTTTCGAATGAAAGTTTTAGAGATCAAAATATCTGTAGTTGAAAAATTCTATAATAATGGGCAGACAAGAAGCTTGAAAAAATTTATTTTTTTAAAACACATATATTGCTATCCATAATCGGATTTCATTACTATGGAACTTTCAAAAATACACGATTGTATTGGTATGTACCATATGATATCAAAATGTTATCAATTGGGGAGTATTCTGTTTAAAAATCTGTTTAAAATCTGAAAGAAGTATATTTTTGAGAGAGATTATTTTTTGGAAAAGAAAGGTTTTGGATTTCTACTTCTCCATCTTTATACAAAAAAAATTGGGAATCTTGCAAAGAAAGGAAGAAGGTTTTTTCCTCTTCCAAAGGAAGAAGGTTTTTTCCTCTTCCAAAGGAAGAAGGCTTTCTATCTCTTGGAATATTCTCATTTTTTTGTATAAAGATGGAGAAGTAGAAACCAAAACTTTTCTTTCTGGAAAATTGAGTTTTCTTGACTTTTTCCATCATAGAATATTCTTTATTTATTTAGCATTTGATTTTCTTCGAGTAGCTCTTTCTGTAAATATGAAGTTGCAAATTTCTAGAACAATTTTGATGACGAAGTTATTCTTCTGAGAATAATTTTTGTTGATGAATAGTAGTTCGACCGAGATGGTGACGAATCCGAAGTTGAGAAAATTTTTTTCTCGTTTGTATTAAAAGTAAACGTTATGTTGTTTTATAGTGTAACGAATCTGAAGCTGGCCCTGACCGATATCTCATCCAGCGAATAAACACATGACTTCCCTCGAATCGCCGCGAAAAGTATAGATGAGTATCGAAGCCACTAGAGAGATCTAGAGCGATCGTTACCGATATACCGGCTTCTCGTCCGTGCGTTTAAATAAAGAATTGAAATAGTGAAAATAAATTAAGTGCTAAGTGTTGTGAATAAATTAGTTTGCGATAGTGAAATATTGTTAGAAATAAATTTGTTCAAGACAGTAAATTCTTCAATTTGTTACAATTGGTGATCAGAAGTGGATTTTAAAAATAAATTTGTGAGCGCTTGGTGGACACTCTTTGTATTACGGTGAAATTGACTATAAGACTTATTTGTTCGCTTAGAGACTGGTGATTCATTGTGTTTCGCGAATTGGACAGTACCGGACTACGGAAACATAAACTGATACACCTTTCTCGCGAAAAATAGACTTGTGAAAATAAATTAGTATTTCGAACCCGATTAAAATAAGTGGACGTATTCAGTTTCGTGGAAAATAGACAATAAGAGACAAAATGTGTTCGAGGAAAGTGCGCCTAGTGGACTTGCAAGTCGCCGAATTGAAGCAAGAATTAGAAGAGAGAGAGCTAGATTATTCCGAAAAGAAATCAGTACTCCAGAAGAGACTAGGATAACTTGACGAAATCAGGAGAAGATCCCGAAACATATTTAATCGAAGTTTCTGGGGGTGATTTGAGTTCAATAATGAGCAAACTCGATGAGAATACCAAATCACTGAAAGATGAACTTCAACAAACTTCAGTAAGTCTGGAGGAGAAACTTCTGGAAAATTTGAAGAGTTTAAAAGATGAACTTCAATAAAATTCGAAGAGTTTGGAAGACAAACTTCTAGAAAATGCAGAAGGCTTAAAGAAGGAACTTTGTTCTGTGGCGAGTCTACTCGAAGAAAATATAGGAACCATCGAGACAGAGATAGACAAAATCAGAAAGGAAATGTACACGGAAGTGGAAGAAATCAAAGGGTAGATCAAAGATGAAATCGGAGCAGAAATGAAGAAAATGGAAAAAAAGTTAGGTGATGAAATCAAAGGCGAATCTGAGGCAGGAATCAGCAAGATGAAGGAAACAATTAACAAGTTGCAAAACCAAATCGTTAATTCATCTCACACCATAGAATATGTTTCCGAAAACTCAATTTTGGAACTGAAATATGTCAAAGGCTGAACCAGGAAAGCTCTCCATGAAGCCGCCCCAGTTCGACGGAAGAACTTCTTGGGCAAATTACCACCGACAATTCGAAGCTGCGGCCAAAACGAATGGATGGAATGCAGGAGAAAAGGCGGTAGCATTAAAATTGGCGTTGCGTGGAGAAACAACGAATATTTTGCAAACCCTCACGGCCTAAGAGAAGGAAGACTATGACCAACTTATAAAACATCTCGGCCTGAGGGTGCTGAAACCATCCTGGAGGCTCGCTTGGATGGAAGTGCGAGCAGCGGAAAGGTGGTAATGTTCGAACCAAAGATTCATGATGAGAAAATTGGACGAGGAATCGCACTGGGGAAGACCCTGATGCGTGTTGATACAGTTGTGCCGATCAGGGTCATGAATGTCAGCTACTTTCCCGTGACCGTGAAGAAAGGAACAATGCTGGGACACTGTTCGTCCATTTCCTCTGTGATACGGAGTGTACGCAGTTCTGTTAGGCAAGCCAACAACTTGCCTGAAGAGTTGAAGAAGTTGATTGACATTTCCTCCAAGGACATACCACCAACTCACCGATCAAAACTGAGGGAGTTAGTCAAGAAGTAAAAGGAAATCTTTGACATTGGAGAATGAAAAGGCGGCAGAACGAATGTGGTTCAGCATAGAGTCGACACTGGGAATGTCCGACCAATCCGGCAATCAGCTATAGAAGACTTCCTCTTACCAAAAAAGAAGAGGCAGACAAAAGAAGGAGTTATCGAACCTTCTGACAGCCCCTGGTCTTCCCTAGCCGTATTAGTGGAGAAGAAGGACGGCTCGACAAGGTTCTGCGTGGATTATCGCCAACTAAATAACGTGACGAAGAAAGACAGCTACCCTCTTCCAAGAATCGACGACACTCTAGACACGCTAGCAGGCTCCACGATTTTCTCGACTTTGGATTTGAAGAGTGGATATTGGCAAGTTGAATTGGCCCCAGAAGATCAAGAAAAGACAGCTTTCACCATCGGCTTAGGATTGTAGTAGTTCACGG